AACTTTCCAAGGCAGATTCTGAAAAATAAATTACTCATTTCGAACTACTAACGTGTGATGCACGGTGAGAGGTTTATGAAAGTTGTTTTTTACCAAAATATGCCAGTGGTAATATAAAAATTTAAAGTACATAAGAATAAGATTATTCACGTCAACTGAGCTTTGTTATTTAAATAACATTTTATTTTCTATTTTAGTTTTCTATCAAAAAGCAATATGTATCACGTGACTTAAATAGATCTCATTTAATATACGTGTGTCTATCTTTGAAATATGTGTAAACAATGTGTGAAAAAGAAATCTCTCAAAAGATTAATGGGATTTGAAAACAAATTGTATAATTAATGTTTCACGAGTTAAGAATATAAATGTTTTCTCTTTTTGTTCTAAATATGTCAGTAATGATTGAAAGTACATAGATTGTAAGTACTCCGCAAGTACTGAAAGCGGAAACAAGAGAAATCCTACCAATACCCCTAGTGGCCACCCCACACACTGATCTATAGCTAACGAGCACTAGAACTATGAAACTTATGTATTTTAAAGCAAAAAATAACTTCTTCTTGATATATTCCGAATCATTCCTAGTTGATTAAACCATATTTGACAGGTCCAAATGCAAAAGCCTAGAAGGAGCTAGAGAACAAGCAAACGAACTTCTCTCAAATTACAGTAAGATTGTGTAGTATATTTGGATTAATTAATACAAACATTATTTACTCGTTGTCTATAGCAAAAATAGTCTAAAATCATAGCGACATCTGCTGTCGATTGGATTAGTTATAGAAGAAATTCTTAAGATAATATCAGCGGAGATTAATGGCTGTCCTGGAAGATTTGACTTCATCTGTTCACTGAGATAGAGTTTTATGGACCTACAACTTGTAACATGTAATTTTTAGTATTTTTGGTTCAGTAGTAGGGTTATTATTTATTTTTCTAGAGTAAATTTGTTATCAATAGGAATGTTCATTGACAAAAAGATTACATTATGCATATGTTCCTCAATGTATCTAAATAAAAATAGTATTTATATATGTGTGCATGTAAATAGCTGTTTTATATTCATATCTTGTATTTTCACCGTTTCTTTGATTATGTGTTCTGTTTTATGCCTGATCATAATGTTGGGTATCATAACGTAAATTTAGACTATTATCTGATTTTCATGATGTCTATTTGAGAAATGACTGTTGTTGTCTTTTATATGACAATGCAGTAAATGGGAATGAATATCTGTAAAAGTTTACATTGAATTCATGTATGATTATGAAAGAGAATTGTTATATGTTGTAATTTAAGTTTCTCCTATAAAGTGTGTTATCTGGACGCAGTAAATATGTGAATATTAGTTGAACTCTCTTTATCGAATGCTTTTATTTAAAGGTGTTTTTAATGTATAAAGTATCTATTATGATAGATTAACACACTTTTGAATGTAAGATGTGTTATAATTTGAGTTCAAAATATCTGTGATATCGTACTTTTTAATGTATAACATTTTTATTCTAACGTACTGATTATCTAAAGTGCCTATTTTGTGTATTATGTACTTTCTTCAAGAAATGTACTTACCAATAAACGCTTTAGTATTCTGCAGTTTACAGAAACTTTTATCTTAACTATTCAATGCTTTACGTAATAACATGTTTCTATTAAATGGATTTTGATGTTATGTGCCAGCTCAGTTTTACCTATAATCACGTTTACCTGGATTTTATTCCATCCAAGCAGTGTGCTGTTGGTAGTGGTAAGGAAATAAGATCTTAGGTTGTATCTACACAAATTTTTATTACAAGTCCAAAGATGTTATAATTTCCTTGTATAGGTCACTGGTTACGCCACATTTGAAGTATTGTGTTCATTCTTAGGCTCCATACCTTAGGAGGGACATTGAATTGCTATAAAGGATTCAGAAAGAGTTATTAAAATGGTGCCTGGGATGGAGAAGTTGTCATACGAGGAGAGGTTGAAATCTCTCACACTTTTTTCCCTTGAAAAAAGAAGAGTTAGGGGGATCTGATTGAGTTGTTTAAGATTGTAAATGGAATTGATAGCGTTGATGTATCATCTTTTTTATATTTAACAATGAGAACAGTAGGACTAGGGGACACAAATATAAATTTTGGCAGGGTAGGAGTCATCTTCAACTAAGACAGTTTTATTTTTCTAACAGAGTGGTTGGCCTCTGGAATGGGTTGCCTTCGGATGTTGTGGAGGCAGTAAATTTAAGTGAGTTTAATAAAAAACTTGATAAGTACATAAATGATAAGATTTTAAGATTTTCTTTAAATTTATTT